GTGCATTGTGGCCTGATCCCAATCAACCTATGGGGGAGAGAAAAATCTCCACTCATGGCGTGGAACGGTCGGTCACTCGTGATGAGTCACGACCTCGCGTCGGATGCTCCTCCTCGTGTGCCACCACCTTCGAGCCGTCGGTCGTCTTCCCGTTGTCCGTCGTCTAGCAGCTCCTCGATGTATTCAAGTGCTAGGTCCCCTCGCCCATCTCCACTCATCTCGTCTCCTTTCCCCTTCCGGCCTTCCCCTTCTCCTCGTTGATGGATGGACGCAGGTAAGGAATAAAAGAGATCTGATTTTTTTTAAAAGTTTGGATTGGAGCCTGAGTGTTAAAAACTTCTTGCGACAAAATTGTAACACCCCTGGTGTTAGGCTTGCATAATTGCACTTCCATTTCATAAACATAAGCATCATTCATCCATTCATTAGCTTATATCACCTGAAACATGTTATCGAAACATTGCAACATGCTGTATATTTCATGAGTGTTGTTTTAAATTATGAAATGAATAGTGTGCAGCACCCAAATACAACATGTGCAACTCACTTTAGTGGAACATAGTTAGTTAGTACGATGCAACAAGATCATGAAACATGTGAAATATGGCTATGAGACAAAAGTAACATTTCAATTGTTTTTCATTGTTTTAGTGCATTCAGTGCTTGATTCTTGTGTGACCAATGTGTGGTATGGCTAAATATATTTTTAAACAACTTAGCTATACTTAGAAGGTCATTAGGAACACTGTTCATATTGATCATTTTGCCTAATTAAGTTTTCGAGTCATAGTTTGACTAGTTTTGACTCCTGAACTCCTTGGTTTGACTGTTTAAAAAAGTATAACTTAGAGTCTATGCATGTCTGAGCAACCTAAAACAAAGTTGTACCAAATTTTATAAGGAACAAACTTTGTTTAGAAACCAAGTTATGAAAATGTGCACAACATGCTCAAAAAGGGCCCACAAGTCAGAATTTGGGTTGGGTTCAACACTTAGAAATTTTCTAAGTGCAAAAACCGAGTTTTCAGTTTCATGAACTCGACTTTGGCCTGATTTTACTCTCTGTCCTTTGCGAATTAGACCTTGATCTCTAAATGAGTTTTGTAGCTGGTATGTAGGTGTACAACTTTCGTTTTGATTTCTCTCGCTAACGATCAACGGTTTAGGAGTTAATGGCCGGTGAAAACTCGCTGTCAGTCGCAATTGGTTAGCTGAATCGGCAGCTACAGTGCTGCCCGTTTCAGAACATCACCGCCGCGCGTCGTCGGTCGCCTGACCATGCAGGCCACGCGCCGCGGCCGTCCTAGCACTGCTGGCCATGCCTTAAGCCCCCGCACGCCTGCTAGACCCGCTCGCCCATCCCTTTTTCACTTCCTTCATCTTCGCAGCGACCGCAGCAGCCGCAGCCATGCCGAGCAGCTCCACCGTAGCCTAGCTCGCTCGCCGCCGTAAAAATGCGACTGCCAGCCGGTCAGCAGCTCCGCCATGTCCTCCTCTACCTCCGCCACCCCTTGGCTGCACCGATTGGGTCTTGGTAAGGACGCATTGTCCATTCCCGCCACCGCCGCCATGGGCGTGTCCTCACCGGAGTTGAGGCCGCCGTGGTCGGGGTAGCTGGAAACTCCCTCGTCCTCCTCTCTTTGCCTGGGTAGCACCGTAGCGATTCCCTGTAGCTCATGCCGTGCTCGGTTGAGGCAGCCATGGCTTGCCGTCGCCGGCATCTTGCGCCGGAGCTCGGCTGAGCCGCCATCACCGTCGACGTGCCACCTCCGCTAGGTCTTAGGTCTCGCCGGTGGCACCAATCGAGTCGCCTCATCACGGAGAGCACGCCGGTGCTTTCAGTGTCGCCGGAGGAGCCACCGTCGGTGAGTTTCACCGTTGCCGCGCCGTCGAGTGAGCCATCCCCTATTTTTCTTGTCGCTGACGTGTAGGTCCCGCTTGCCAGTGACCGTTGAGCAATAGGATAGTGCAAATATTCCAGGTTTCTATGCTGTTTTGTAATAATTGTATCTCCCGTTTTGTAGCTTCAAAAATTGTGAAATAAATTTGATAGTGTTCCTTAGGAAGTCTAGTATTTAGGAAAAATATAGTCTTGATACTTACAGTAGAAATTTTGGAAGATTTAAATGGAAACTTGAAATGTGTTTTTGAATGCATGCAAACTTGTTTATTTTATATCTAGAGTTTCTGTGGTCCAAAAATTATGAAATTTTGTGGGTAAGCTATTCTTGCTTAGTAGAAGCTCTGGTAAAAATTTGAGAGTCATTGCATGTGTGGTTTTTGAGTTATAGATTTTCCTTTTATCATTGATTGATACTTGTGTAAATTTTTGTAAATTATCTAGGAATCCTATGACCATGAAATTTTGTGGGGAGTATCCCAGTACCTTAAGGATGTTAGAAAAAAATATAAAATCTGTTGCTTGACACTTTTTAACTAAGGTTTTCTATTTATGCCTTTTTAAGCACTTATGCATTGTCATTTTTGTGTAGGCTATTTTACTTATTCAAATGCAATGAAAATTTTATGGTAGTCTACTTAGAGTAGTACTATGCTACTATAATTTTCTTAGATTTTTATGAGCACCAGAAATATATGTTGCGATGTAGTCCTAGTTTAAAATGAAATAAAATAATCTTCTTTAATGCATGGTTTAGTTAATCATGTTTGCTTTGGTGTATCTTTGAAGCATCTTAACTTGCTGTGGTGATTTGGCATGTTAGTACAATGGTTGTCGTAGTAGATAGTAGTACATGTTCTTGGATGATGTCGACTACCTTGTAGACGAGCTTTACTACTACTATATCCAATAAAGTTAAACATGTTCATCTACACTTCATGCATCATGATCATTACATGTCATCTCTCCGATGCACCTATGTATTAGCACTTATACATCTGCATCATACAGGATCGCAGGAGGAGATGCTAGTAGCAGTTCAGGAAGAGCAGATCAGGACAGATCCACAAGAAGTCCAAGCACAGGAGGTGCCAGAGGAAGAGGAGCAAGGAGAGGACTTGCCCGAGTGCGTGGATCATCATCCTAGTTCGTTTGAACGAGGCAAGCCCCGGAGCATTCTAAGTCTCGTACTTTACAAAAGCAATTTTTTTCTATCTATATGAGTTATATATTGTTGCATTAAGTTGTAGGAGTTGATTGAAACCGTTGATGCATTTATTACTATCCTTGCCTACCTTATTACCTTTTACCCTGTTAGGTCAGGATCGAATAACTGCTTAGCCTTGCTTAGATCAGTAGCGATCGGTGATTTCCGGTCACCTACTTTTATAGGTGGTTACTAGAAGAAATTAGCTATAAAAAGAATGATATCCTGAAATTAACCATGTGTGATGAATAACTGGAGACCGGACGGAAAAAGTTGGAGGCAGCCCGACAAGGTTCTGGGGTGCAGTTAGTTTTCCGTCTGCGTCGATTAAGGACCGATCATTGCTCGTCCCTCTTGTCATGTTGAACGCATGCCTCACATTTAGCTGGCCGAATAAAGTACCTTTCGACTGCGAAGCTAGTGACACCTTTTCGACCCGGGATAAACTCGGATGCGCAGACTGGTGCCGAAGAGGGTATGACGGGGACGCGAAGAGTGAGCCCAAGGTGCGTCCTGGCAGTCGAGCGGTCCCTGGGTAGTGCGGTCCATGACTGTTATCCCGCAGCTACTTGGAAAGTGTCATTGGTGATCTAAGTGACCCTGACGGGGGAAGCATGGTTTGTGTGAGGAATAAATCACCAGCTGGTTAGGAATCGATTCGAATCGCCATCGCTCCTGGATAGTGAGCACTTAACTCGAGCTACGGCATCGTAGTAATTATTATGGAACAATGATGGTTATCTGGATGGTATGGACATGCTAAAGCTAAATTGGTAACTGGAAGTTATTGATTAATCAAGTGATTGCTATAGTACAGGTGCTTACCTAGATGAATATATTATAATAAGGATGATGCAAAGTATTTAAAATGATGTCTTCATGATAGCTTATGCTTTTCGCAAACAAGTTAGCTAGCCCACTAAAGAAAGCCTTGCATAATCCTTGGTATCGTTTTATTTTGGTTTAAGACGGGTAAGTGTAGCTGAGTACCTTCTCGTACTCAGGGCGTTGTTCCCATTGTTGTTGCAGATGGTCAAATGTACTACGGCTATTGCATTAACTGCATGTACCCGGCGATGGGTGACAACTAGGACAAGGGCAAATGGTCACTCCGTATCTCTCATCTGATGCTTTTGTTGGAGATGACTACTTACTGGCATTGTATCTGAACTAAAAGTGTGTGTGACTTTAAAACTATTCGCTTCCATTATTTTAGATCGAACTTGAGTTGTAATAATTTTATGTTCTAAATTCTGATGTATCCCCTGTCATTGTGAACTTTATGTAACGTGTGACGGTACTTGCTAAACTTGTACGATCTTGGTTTGTATGTCGATTGGTTTGAAATCCTTCGTGCTTTCACGGACTACCGGGTTATACGGGTTTAAGTTTGCTAAATTATCTGCTTTGGCGGAAGATTTTCTTACTTAATCTTGTATAATTTGTCGGTTCTGTTACAAAAATCTCTATGCTAATGAGAGCAACATTGACAATTGAGGCATTTCCGGAAATGTGTGCTGCCTTTTGGTAATTAAATTGGGTATAACCGTATAACCAACCGTACATGGAAATTAGTATGTTCTGTGAGATGGAGTACTTCAGATTTATTGATTGGCAGTGTGGATTGATTGAGTTGGGTCGACCTGTTCAATAATTTATTAAATAAATAAAATACATAAATGTTTGAGGCTAGGAGTACCTACTGCATATGGGCCGGTTCCGATCCTATTTCCTTTTCCTATCCCGACACGGACACCTCCAGGCCCCATGACCATAAATCTCCCCACGAACGGATCCGGATGGGCCAACCCAAAACAACACTAGAATCAATCGCCCTGACCGGCCTTTTCGTTCGCCGGCCGCACGCACTCTCGCTCTCTCGCACCTCGATCAATGGAGACGTTTGGCGCGGCGGTGGACGGCGAGGACGATTTCCTCGACCAGCAACCAGACCAAGGTGACGACTTCATGTCCGACGATGACGATGAAGACTACTTTATGTCCGACGATGATGACGATTACTGGTCGACGCAAGGTGACGACGACGACTTCATGTCCGACGACGACAACGAGGACGAGGAGTACCCCTTCCCCGTGCACGCACCGCCAGCAGCGGCGTCCGAGGCGGCGATCGCGGCGCTGGAGGCGGCCGAGGCTCCGGCCGACGACTGCTGCCCGGTCTGCCTGCAGGACGGCGGGGAGGCGCCGGTGCCGGAGCCGGCAGCGCGGCCGTGGAGCCGGGTAGCGCCGTGCGGGCACCGGTTCCACGCCACGTGCGTGGAGAAGTGGCTGAGGGTGAAGCTGAGCTGCCCCGTGTGCCGGTGCCCGGCTGCCGTCCCTCCTGCACCCACCGCCGCGCGCCGCCGTGACGCTGCGCCGGAGCCCCCGCGCCCGATCCCGGACATCGTGGAGGAGTTCTTGGCGATGGGTTACGAGGAGTCTCTCGTGTTCGACAAGAGCCCGCGGTGGATGGAGTACATGGCCGACCTTCACCAGGAATTCTTCCCTTTGGCCGGTGCAGCATGAGACTGGATTAGGGATCTTTCTTGCTTGAACAAAGTGCTGCTGCAAAACTCTTCAAACTAATCATGGCGGAAGATCTCCAACGACCACCCCGGCCCCTTCCTTTTCTCTTGACTGAAATTGTTGGACTACACAGAATGGCCGGGTGACGGACGACTTCATTCCGAGACGCAAACCAAACGTTTTGATTAGGGTCGGATGATTCCGGATGCCTTCACGACACAAACCAAACGCTTTGTATGTTTTCATTGACTATTTTGTTCATCTGCAGCCTAATAAGTAATAATAATCTATTATTTGCCACATGCATGGCCCACAAGTGTTTTTTAACCAGGCAAGTTAGATTTCGGCCCAGGCTATATGTTTGGCTATAAATATTCTACTTCCCCACCCACTTTCTTTTTTGTTACATCTGTGTCCTCTTATTTGCTTGTTTTATTTAAAATACGGTATTATCTTGTCTGACTTTATTTGATTTTATCATGATGTTTTCATTTTTAGTATATTCTTACCAACAATCCTTACAATGGTTCAAATATACTATTGTTTATTTCAAATTCTATAACCACAAGTTTTTTGGTTCTAATAACATTATTTCACTGTTTTCATAGAATTTTCAATATGGTTAATGGTGCAACTTTGCATATATTTTTATTATACCAAAACATGTTTTATTTATTGATACATTGGGTCTGACTGCCGCTGTGAAGCTAGTACATATTCTCATATAAAGCTGGAACATTTTTATTCCTACTAATATTTTTCTCATGAAGCTAGCACAAATTCCTCTTTGGAGCTAGAACATTTTTCCTTGAAGCCGAAACAATTTACATGTGACGATGGAATATTTTTTATTGCTAATCTAGGATATTTTAAACCCAAATATAGTTACACAAAACATTATTCTTCATGAGAAGAAAAATATGTGATGTTGGAACAGTGATCTTCATGAAAAATTGTTTATCAACAAAATGTAATCCAAATATACTCGGTGGTCGGTGGGTGTTGTTTTAAAGATTTTAATAAGGGAAACACACAATACTATAGTTATAATTTAATCTGAATGGGTAGCATGAAAAGTATAGTTTTTTTTTTCTAAGTTTCAAAATTGGTAATATTGCTTGTTTCTTAGCGCTATTACTGCATGGCCATTTAGTTGCACGTGCTGCAGACACCCTGGGCCACGTTCTATATAGAGACCAAAATCAAGACATCCTGGTGATATTGAAGTAGCAAAGTAATAATGCACATGTTAATTTTCTAGCATCTGAAAAACTGCATCACATCAGAAAAGCCTACTCAAATGTCAACTCTGAAGTTTTGTTACACGGACCCGTTTTACTTCATGTAAAACTCAAAGCATACAATACTTTACGTGAAAGTCCTAAGGCCATGTTTAGTTGAGTTATGACTTTTGCAAAAGCTGTTGTGAGCTTTGACTTTTACGATGTTGTGGGATAGTTGAAAGCATGTTTGGTTCAACAGCTCTGACTTTTAGAAAAGCTTCTCTCACTTAAGAGCTGGCCCCACATGTCATGCACATAATGGATCTTCTTCCTCCTCTCGCCAATGCTCGCTAAGGTAGGTCGCGCCTCACCGGGACTAGGCAGAGCTGCTCGCCGGGGCCAGGGAAATCGAGGAGATCGAGAAATCGAGCACCGAAGTAAGGGAAACCGAGCAGATCAGGAAATCGAGCTCGAGCTCGCTGCCGGCCTTGGCTCACTACTCGGAGGTGCTCGACAGCGCTGCTCGTCTCGTCGCCTCGCCATGCTGCTCGGCGTCAGGGCCGTACTGCATAATTGGGCACCTCGTCGCTGCTCGACGGCAGTCGGAACGAAGCTGAGGAGGAAGGGGCCGCGCCGCTGCTCGAAGGTCCTCGATGACACTGGGAGGGGGCTCGTCGGATGCCGTCGCGCATGCGAAGGGGCTCGCCGACCGCCGCCGCGCAGGGGAGCCGGGTCGGATGCGAGGACGAAGACGCTCGGGAGGAAAAAACGCTCGAGAGAAACATAAGGTCGAAACGTTATGTATCGTAATCAGCGGCAGGTCGGTAAATTTTTACCCCAAAAGCAACTGAAAGCAGGGGTGAAGGTGTTTTTGAATTTGTACTACAGTGAAAACTGCTTTTGGACAAAAACAGTTGTGACTTTTGGACTTTTTGATGGGCTTTTAGCTTTTGCAAAAGTAAAAGCAGGTTCAAAAGCCCAACCAAAAAGGCCTCAATGTTGTTAGGGAGGGTCTAGCGTCCGAACGTCCGAACAAAAGCGTGCGTCCGGACGCCCGTGCTGCGCCCACCGCTCACGAGAATATTATTGTTGCTCAGCGCGTGCTTAGCGTAAAGCACGTGCTTGCTCGTGCCTGCCGCACCCGCATAACATGAGGACCGTTATCTCGCTGGACCGTAACAGACAGGAGTGCGCCCCCCGCACCTGCCTCACCCCGCCTGCGGATGCACGCCGAAAGGCGTCTGCCAGCCTCAGGCGCCCGTACTGTGACCCACGGGCGGCGCCCCAGCAATAGTAGCAGGCGTTTATGGCAGGCCACTATCCGCCAGCCTCCGGGCCATTGCTACATGTGCTTTCCTAGATCTACTTTTGAAACATCTAGTAGAAACACTTGCAACATGCGACTAAAAATAGATGAAACACTTGAAACATACGCTTGAAACATGTGTATATAGCTATAGCAACATATGCAACATCCATATCTAGTTTTGCAACATCCAGATAAACACTTGCACCATACGTATGAAACACTTGGAATATGCATTTGAAACATGCATGTTAAACATCGAGATATACTTCTGCAATATCATGATGAAACACTAGAAACACCTGAAACACTCGAAAACATATGCTTGCAACATGCGTATATCGTAATTGCACCATATGTGTCGGTACAGAAAGTGACCAACTAGTGAATATTTGTAGTTTTGCTGTACGTTGTGATCGGAGGTGGCCTAGCACTCAATGACACAGGATATATACTGGTTCGAGCAACGTGCCCTACGTCCAGTGTGGGTCGGTCGGTGACTTTATTCCTAAGCCCAGGTGCTCGAAGTTTGTAGTGGGGTTACAAATGAGAGGGAGAAAAGAGGGGTGTACAAGAGGCCCGGTCGGGTTCGACCGGAAGGGCCGAGGGCGACCGGAACTCCGCTATGAGATGGATGTTCAAGCGTGTGCTAGAAGGGTTGTGAACTATTGGTCTAGTGAATCTAAACTTGGAGGAGATCGTCCTCTTGTTAGAGGGAGCGCATCCCCTTTTATAGAAGAAGGGGATGGCTTTACAGGTGAGAGGGTGAGAATACGAATGTTACGAAGTCTTCGTTGCCCATGCCGACGAGGAGTGGATAATGGTAGGCGCCTACAACACTGTTGATGTCACTGTAGAATGTCAGGTGCATGTGGGAGCTCGTGGTGGCTTCTTCAGGAAGGGTGGACATCAGTACCTGCAAAAACATGTGAGGAGCCCCACCACGTGTACCAGGTATGGTGGATCCTGGCGCCCCCTATCGATGCCCAGAGGCATGGAGGGCCTTTTGCCGTATGGGAGCCCCACGGTGCCCACAATACTGTAGACATAAATGTCGGCGCCAACAATACTGCTTGTGTCAGGGCGGTCGTGGAGTACTGTTCCCGCAGGCGTGCAGGGTATGGTCCCGGTATCGTGGTTTGACTTAGTGCGCCACTCTTTTTCGTTCGCCCCTGGTTCCTTTCGAGCGGGAGTCCCCAATCGGATGGCTCCAGTCGGCCCTAGCCGCGCCAGTCGGAGAAGAGCAGTACGCAGGCTTCCTACAGGTCCCCGGTCGGAGTCGCGGGGTCGGAGTAGGAAGTAGCATTTTGGGCCAGGCCTTCCGATCGGAGAGACCACTGGAGGCTGTGGATGCTCCGGTCGGAGAGGTGGGCCGAAGAGGTTGGCGAGCGGGCGCTTGCTCCTTTAGGTTGACCTCCAGGTCGGAGATCATGCTGTTTCTTCTGGCCCGTCGTGTTTATAGACTATTCGGGCCAGCCCATGGTCTACATGTTGTTTTCCCGGGCCGACCCCTGGCGTTGGAGCCAGTCCCCGAGGGACCTCGGGCTTATGAACCCGACAGGAGCCCCTAAGCCCCCGGGTGATTTTGAGCAGAATTGTCCGAGGGATTTTTTGTCTCGACGGTGGGTGCGCGTGAGCGCACCCGTGGGTGTAGCCCCGAGCCCCCGGGCGGTTCGGGCATAATTGGCTGGGGGCTTTTCCTGTGTTGTCGGTGGGTGCGCGCGAGCGCTCCCGCAGGTGTAGCCCCCGGGCGGTTCGGGAGGAACCGGCAGGGGGGTGTTGTTTCACCGGGCGTGTGTGCGTGTTTTTAGTTTGAGACGGTATTTTGTTTAACCACGGCGTCGTTGTGCAGCCGAGGCGGTTTCTAGGCATGGAAATGAGATAGAGCTTACTAACGTCGGCGTCGGTGTGCGTCGTGGATCGGGTGATAGGTTTTTAGTTTCGGAAAAAGCCCTGGCATCGGTGCGTGCCATGGATGGGGATAGCTCGGTTCGAACGTGTTTTTAGAGCTCGCTGATCTTTTGGCATCGATGCGTGCCACGGGATCGAGCGAGGCGGGGCTACGAATGGACCCAGGCATCGTTGCGCGCCGTGGATTTCGACGAGAGAGTTAGTTTGGTTAGTTCAGGAGCCCAACGAGCTGGAGCTCGTGGACCCTAGGAGCGCAGTCAGAAGTGAAGCCGTTAAGCGAGTTAAGGAGTCGTGGTCCCAGGAGCCGTAGCCGGATGTCATAGATCCTGTCGACGCGAGTTCGAGGTCGCGGTCCCAAGAGCCATAGCCGGATATCATAGATCCTATCGACGTGAGTTCGGGGTCGCGGTCCCAAGGTTCATTGGAGCGTAGTGAAGCCGTCTGAAGCTGTTTTCAAGCCAAAGCATAGTTAGTTGGTTAAAGATCAGACGAGTCAATGCTCGTAGACCTTAGCGTCGGTGCGCGCCGTGGGGTCGGGCGAGTCGGAGTCATGGATCTAG